GGGATACTGGCAATCAGGAATTGTTCCTGGCAGGGTGGGCAGGCCCCAGCACAGGGTGCCCAGAGCAGCTGTGGCTGCCCCTGGATCCCTGGCAGTGCCCAAGGCCAGGCTGGACTTTGGGGCTTGGAGCAGCCTGGGACAGTGGAAGGTGTCCCTGCCATGGCAGGGGTGGGATGAGCTGAGCTTTAAGGTCCTCCCAACCTATATAAGTTCCCTTCCACGATTCTCTGACTCTTTGCAGTGGGATTTTCCTGCCCACAGAGGAAGGAAGATATTTCCAAAAGCCCAGAGCAGGCAGAGCAGGCACCTCTCCTGCCTGTGCTCCCCTCCACGACTCCTGTGTGTGCTGCTGCCCTGTGTGAGGTGGGAAATGATGGATGAGGCAGCAGGGTGACACTGCTGTGCCCTGGGAGGGATGTGACACAGCTCTGAGCCCTCACAGCCTCATGTGACACCCTCTGCATGAGCACACCTGGGAGAAGATTGAATGAGAGGCTGAGTGGCCAGCCTGCATGTTAGACAGTCTATCTCTGCTCTAAACCAATCCAAAAGTGCCAGCATCACCCAGAAGATGGAGGCTAGGAGGGAGAAAGAAGAAGGACAAGGCACACCCAAATTCCTCCATCTTGGGACCCTGAACCTCCATTCTAAAAACCTTAAAATTCTACCTTTTCACCCTGTGACAAACTATTATTCTACTTAACCTCTCCTGACTTGTAATTCTTCATACAAAGCTGGTCATTTGCTCCAGCTCTGCCTTGTACCTCTGGCTGCTGCTGGGACCTCCAGCCTGGTGCTTTTCCAGAGAGTTCTACAGAGCTTTGGTGAATTGCTCTTTGCTAACATGACACTCCTGGACCTTACTGTCACTTCTCATGAGGGGTAGGATGCCCAGGTGTCTCCCATCCAGGCAGGCAGGGAGGCCTGAGCTGTCCTTGGGGAGCTCAGCATGCTGCTGAGGCTTTGGAAAGGTAGGAGTGAAGCCTTCAGAATGGTGCCTTAGGTTTAAGCTTTTATATTTTTCAGATTCTGTACTGCTTTAGTGTGTAGATCTGAGCTTCACATTAAGGGATGGTGAGCTCTGTGCACAGAGCAGGGAGACAAAACAATTCCTGCTCTAGCTGGGGACCAAGGGCAAATGATCCAAATCTCAGGCCCAAGAGCACAAACAATGGTGAATTGAAGAGAGAAAAACAAGCAGGATGGGACTTCATAACCTAAAGCTGTAACTGGACAATGAACTCCAATATGCAAATGGAGCAGAACTGATCAAAGTGAGAGACCCTGTGACCGGGTGTCCATTTTGTGCCCATTTTGGTTCACCTTGGGTGCAGCCCTGACTGGGCTCTTGTGCTGCCCAAGGTGGATCTGTGGAGGAGATCCTTTTAATAAATCCCTGATTTATTCTTTAGCTCTGTTCTAGGCCAGCTTTCTCAAGGCATCAGTTCAGACCAAGCTTTTTGTTGCCCCAGGAACTCTCCCAAATAACCCTGGGAGACAGGAAACTACCCTGAGAGTTAGGAAATGACCCTTTACCAAGAAAACCTGTTGGCTTTTATTTTGTTTGTTTGTTCTCTCTTGGCTTGTTGGCTTTTTTCTTTCCCACCCTGGCTATCAAGAGCTTAAGCTGCAACTCCATAGCTGGAATTCCTCAGCACACCAGCCCGGCTGCCTCTGCAGAACCGCAATCAAAGCCACCAGAAGCTTCCCATGAAGGGAGGTGCCCCAGGAGTGATCAGCACCCATCTGTTAATTGGAGGGCACGTGAACAGCGAGTGCCAGCGTGGCTGGGCTCTGACACAGCCCGCTCCTTTTAACTCTGGTGATGACAGAGCCACTGGCACTGCCACCAGCAGCCTGGCCAGACACGCCAGGGCTCTGCTTGGTAACCAATTTCCCTCCTTGTCCTTCAGATCTGAGTTCTCTTGGAGCTGCCTGGTAACTTATTTCCCTCCTTGTCCTTCAGATTTGTGTCCTCTTGGAGCTGTCCCCAGCGAGGGAAAAGCATCACTCGATTTTTTTTTTTTTTTAATTTTTGGTCTTATCTCAGCTTGGTGACACCACAGGTAGGTTTGCTGGGAGTATTTAGAGGGTAGGAAGGTCTTTGTGGTGTGGGAGCAGAAAGAGGGAGGCAGAGAGAAATTCACAGTTCATGCTGCTGGGCTGAAGTTGGGCTCTAACTTTTGAGAGCCTGGCAAAACATCAGGAATCATTTGTAATGTTAACTGTGTGCATTTAAATAGGCCTCTAATAGCTCAGGAGCAGCTAAGGTGATCAAAAAGGTTTCTGGTTTTTTCTTTTCAGGCTACACTGATTTAAGCAATAGCCTTCCTATGAGGCTCTACCAGTTTCACTCATAGGATCTGAAAAATAGAATCTGTTTACAGTGGGGTTTGGGTAGGAAAGCTAAGGAATAGAGAAACACGAAAAGTATAGGCAGAGTCATAGCCCAGCCACATTAAACATGTTATTTCCATAGCATAAACTCCCCCTTTAGGTTAATTCCTTCTGTGAGACAACTGACCCAGTCTGGGATTATCCCAGCACTGATTTAGTTCTTGTTTTGCATAGCTGGTTCTCTTCTTCTTGCCATTAAAAATATTAAAAAGGCTTCAGCCTAGTACCAGATCCTGTTTGTACAGTATAAAAAATTCTAAAAATTTGGGAATTCCCTCCACTTTCCCAACCCAGAAAATGGTATGTGATCTCCAGATATGTGAGGAACCTAACACATCCCAACCAAGCAGAAACAAACATTCACATCAATTCCAGCAACAATAACAACAGCATCACTGGTGCTACCGGATTTGCTGTTGTCGCTCTTGCTGCTGCTCCTGTTGCTATTATTACTATCATTATCATTATTTTTTGCTGTTGCTGTCGCTGTTATTATTCACACAGGCACGAGATGTGGCTGCTCATGGCAGTCCTGCTCCTCCTCCAAGCACCCAGCAGCTCCGAAGGCGCCAGCAAGCAGAAGAAGGCTCTGAACCCCGAGGCTCTCATGAACGTTGTAAGCCAGGAGAACTCTGAATTCCCTGTCTGAAGGCTTGGGCACGTTCAGCTGGAGGACAGAGAGGCTGGGAGAGGGCTGGTGCTGTTGGGCTGCATCATTAACATCATTAACCAGCTCCTCCTCCCAGCAGAATTAATGCAATTACAGCAGGGCAGTTAGAGATGGGGATAATCCCAGACTGGATTTGATCAGATATCTCCCCAGAGGGTAGAAATTTGTGCATGGCTCCTCTCCTTCAATAACAGCAAGTCGCTCAGGGCCATGTCCAGGTGAGCCCTGAGAGGCTCTGAACCTGGGTTATAAGATAAAATTGCATTTAAATCTTTAAACTGCATTTAAAACTTTCCTGCCAGCCTCACAACAAAGCAACCTGTGGGCAGGACCACAGCTGGATTTTCCCAGTCGGTGGAGTTTTCAGCAAGAATAAAGCTCAGGCAGAGCCTTGGGAGCCCTGCATGGCTCCTGTGGGATTTATCCCAGTGCCCTTCCAGTCAGCCCAGCTCAGCAGGTTCATCCCTCTGCCCCAGCACCTTATCAGCCCGGCTCATCACCAGGAGCCTGATGTGACATGTGTGGCAGGAAATTGGTGCCAGCCGTCTGTAAGGCGGGGTGAGGCGTCAGGAAATCCTTCTGGTTTCAATGGTTTCAGTGAATCCTTTAGGTTTCAATGGTTTCAGTAAATCCTTTTGGTTTCAATGGTTTCAAGCCCTGCAGCGGCCAGCTCCCCTCTCACCCATGGCTGAGCATCTCCCCTTCCCCTGGGCAGGTCGCTGGGGCAGGGTTTGGACAGAGCCACAAAAAGTCCTCAGCTGATCCAGAGACAGCCTGGGCAAAGCCATGTCCCACAATTTCAGTTTTACCACATCCCAGAACTTCATTTTTACCATGTCAGATGGTAAAAGTCAGGTGCTTATCTCCTCAAGTCAGATAAGCACCTTCACCATAGAATGTTTCCCACCTGGGTTTTTCTTCCCCCAGAGCCAAATCATCTGCCACAAAGGGTACCCCAGTGAGGAGTATGAAGTGCTGACTGATGATGGCTACTACATCCACCTGAACAGGATTCCTCATGGAAGAGAAAAGCCTAAGAACAGAGGTACAGCTTGATTTCAGTCTGAGACAACCAAAACTAAAAGCTCTGAATGCCGGCAGGGGAATGGATGAAGCTGGACAGGCTGGGGGAATAGTCATTGTTAAAGCAAAAAGACTGAATCTGTGGGATTTCTCCAATTTATACTCAAAGCTGTAGCTGAAGACATGGCCAAAATGCACATTTTGCTTGGGAAATGCAAGGCTGAGGCTTTACTGGCCTTAATTTGGGGTGAGTGAACAGAGAAAATGCGCTCCAACGAAATGTGCTGTTTCCTTTGCACCCAGGGGCCAAGCCAGTGGTGTTTCTCCAGCACGGGATATTTGGAGAAGGCAGCCACTGGGTGGAAAACCTGGCCAACAACAGCCTTGGCTTCATCCTAGCAGACTCTGGCTACGATGTGTGGCTGGCAAACAGCCGAGGGACAAGCTGGTCCCGGAGACACCAGCACCTTTCAGCCGACCAGGTGGAATTCTGGGATTTCAGGTGGGCTGGAGATGTTACAAAAGCCTGGCAGAGGTTCTCTGCCTGTCACCGAGCTCCAGGCACAGGTGGGGGCCTCTGAGCAGGCAAGTCAGGGCAGCTCAGCCCTGGAACTGAGGATGGGGCACCTGAGCAGACCTGCCTGCTGACACGGTGCCAGCTCCTCCCTGCAGTGCTGAGAGCACGGGCACTGCCACTTGTGTGGGGACACACAGAGACATCACAGAGACCTCACTGAGCTGGCCACAAGTGTCATTGCCACCTCCCCTGCTCCTAGACCTTGTTGTTGCCCCTTTCTTAAGCTGCTGCTGCCTCTCCAGAGCAGAACCCCCAAGCTCATGAAGAGGCTTTTAGAAAAACCTCACACGGCAGGTGTGCCTTTCACCACCTCCCACCAACACAACAGGAGCCAGTGCTGCATTCCCCGGGGGGAAAGAGCATCCCAGGGAGCAGAGCTGGTGCTGCAATCCTGGTGGGAGCTGGGTATGGCACAGGAATGCTGGCCAGGCTCTCTGCACAGTCTGTTTACTGCTCACCACAGCTGTGGGAGGGCTAAGCCCTTTCAGGCCAGGATGATGCCACGGCAGGAGGGATCCATGCCAGGAATTTCCCCCTGGAAAATCAGCCCCAGATGTGGAGCTGGGCAATGCAAGGCAGCTCAGGGGAAGCTGCTGCCCCACAAGCAGCATCCCCCTCCTGTGTTGCAGCTTCCATGAGATGGCAATGTTCGACCTGCCGGCTGCCATCGACTTTGTGCTGCAGAAAACGGGGCAGAAGCAGCTCCACTACGTTGGATACTCCCAGGGCTGCACAATTGGTGAGTTCCAAAGGGTCACCCACCACCTTGACTCAAAAAATTCCGTTTTGGTGTTTTTGTCAGCAGAAAGCAGAGGACTCCCCCACTTGTGGGCTTAACAACCACTGATGTGTCCCATCAGCCAAGGGAATAAAGGTCGTGCCTCCCTTTGGGCATCTCTTGCACCAACATTTAGCAGGAGAAGGTGGCAACAGATCTCAGATTTCCAAGTGGAGATAATCAATTAAACAGAGCGGGGTCCAAGTGAGCCTTCAGATAAGCACCTGAGGAAAGATGGAGCAAGCCTGAGGTTGTTTTTTCTGTTTTCTCAGCGTTTATTGCGTTTTCATCCATCCCCGAACTGGCTCAGAAAGTCAAAATGTTTTTTGCCCTGGCTCCAGCAGTGTCACTGAAGCACAGCAGAAGTCCACTCATGAAGATGCAGCTCCTTGTGGACAACAAGCTCCAGATGATTCCGGTAAGGGATTGACTCCACACCCTTCTGCCCCAAAACTGACTAGCTCTAGAGGTGGGATCATGCCCAGCCACAGCCCCTGGGGTTCCCCTGTGCAGCAGAAAACAGTTAATTCCTGCTGGTTTATTAGCACAGACACAATTCAGGCACACACACAGTCCTGGATGGCCTTGTTGAGTGCATTTCTTCTTCCCATCTGTAGGATACACATGGTCTTTATTTGGGGGCACATGGGAATAAATCACACAGGATTCCATTTTCTTCATGGTGGGAAAAGCCCCTTCTTTAGTCACATAACTCCTTTTTATACAGTTTTACAGACCTCATGTGTGACTCCAGTTGGTCAGGAGCTTTCTTGCCAATTACTTTTATTGGTAATTAACAAGTTGTTACCCTCACTCAAACGACTGGTGTGTGTACATGCAAGAAAAGTTGTTTGTGAAGAGGTAATTTTAATTTTTTTGTCTGTGTAAAAAGAGTTTATGCAGGTGCTCGTTGTTTTTTTACCCAGTGATAGATTGCTATGTTAATGAACTGCTCACCCCAGGATTGCTTCACATGGGAACTTGCACAGCACTAGCTTCCCTTAGAATAAATGACAGGCCAGCCAGAGCAGGCTTGATTTTACAAGGCTTTTCTTTATAATTTTTCTACCTTACTACACCAAGGGCACTTGTAGGGGCCCTAGACCAACACCTGGAGAAGAGCAGCTTTGCTGTGTTGATTCCATGAAAAACAGATCGTATTCTTGGGGGAGGTGGGGGGAAAGAGGAGAGCTGTGAATATTGATTTCGTTGCTGTGTGTTCAGTCAGCACCAAGGAGCTGTGCACATCTCCATGGGGCAGGGGCTCTATTCCTGGGTGTTCCCTGTCTGGTGGGGCTGGGCAGCAGGGAGGGCAGGCAGGAGCACCCTCAGCGTGTCCCTCTGCTCCGCAGCTGCTGCTGGGCAGGACGGACGCGTCGCTGCNCAGCAGGGCCCCAGCTGAGGGAAGGTGGGCATGGACTGCCCAGGGCAGGATTAACCCCAATCCCAGAGGTGAGGAGGTGCTGATTGCACCCGTGTGCCTCAGAGGAGGTGACTCAGCAGCAGCAGACCTGCACCTGAGGGACAGCACTGGGGACACAGCTGATCCCACGGGCTGCTTCCCTTCCTGTTGTGCCAGCAGCAGGTGGGGTTGCAGTCCTGTGATGCCTCAAATGAGAGCATGAGAGGCATCCTGCAGCAATGCTGCCTGATGGCTGAGAAGGGTGAAGCTAGCAAGCAACACACCACAGCAGAAGGTGTAAATTTTGATTCTTAAGGGCCTCAGAGGCCAAGAATAATACAGGGTTTGGGACTCAGGCAGAGTCCAGGACTCATTGGATGGAAACCTTGGCCTTCCATGTCACACCTGGACACACATCCCTCTGAGAATGTAGGATCCCAGAGTGGTTTGGGTTGGAAGGGACCTTAGAGATCACCTCATTCCACCCCTACCATGACAAAGACACCTTCCACTGTCCCAGAGCGCTCCAGCCTGGCCTTGGGCACTGCCAGGGATCCAGGAGCAGCCACAGCTGTGCCAGGGCCTGCCCACCCTGCCAGGGAACAATTCCTAATTCCCAATATCCCATCCAGCCCTGCCCTCTGGCACTGGGAGCAATTCCCCATGTCCCATCCCTCCATTCCCTTATCCCAGCTCCCTACAAAACACCTTTTATCCAACAACATTCCAACCCCATGAAGGTGTTTTTTTAGCTGTGATTTTCCTTTCCTTACCTCCCTGTGCTTCCCTTTTCCAGGAGCAGCCACAGCTGCTCTGGGAAATCCATTCCAGGGCCTGCCCACCCTTCCAGGGAACAATTCCTTCCCAAAATCCCATCTAAACCCAACCTCCTTCAAGTCCTCAAAGGTCTGAGGACTTTCATTCCTCCCTTTGACTAAGCCACACAAGAGTTCCTCAGTAAAAATCCAGCTAGTTGTTTTGTTTTTTTTGGCACCTTCTGTCCTTCCACCAGAGGTGGAACAACCGCAGGTGCTGAATCACACACTCACCTCAGCACTGACACACTGCTCCAATGGCCTCGTTCCACAGCCTGGGGATGCCAGAGAAGTCTCTGCTGCCTTTCCAACATCTACTACTATTAATTTATCACTGTTACTACTAGTTAGTGCCTCCACTAGAGAAAGAGTAGTGGGGTGAGAAGGCAGCAGGGCAGGGGGGATTATGCCCCTCTGCCCCACTCAAGTGAGGCCTCACCTGTGCACAGCCCTGGTGCTCCCAGCGTCAGAAGGACATGGAGCTGTTGGAGCAGGGCCATGGAGATGCTGAGGGGGTCTGGAGCAGCTCCCCTGTGGATCCAGGCTGGGAGAGCTCAGCCTGGAGAAGGGAAGGGTGTGTGGAGACCTCACAGCTCCTTCCAGGGCCTGAAGGGACACAGGGGAGCTGGAGAGGGACCCTGCATTGGGAACTGGAGGGACAGGACACAGGGAATGGGTTCAGAGTGCCAGAGGGCAGGGCTGGATGGGATACTGGCAATCAGGAATTGTTCCTGGCAGGGTGGGCAGGCCCCAGCACAGGGTGCCCAGAGCAGCTGTGGCTGCCCCTGGATCCCTGGCAGTGCCCAAGGCCAGGCTGGACTTTGGGGCTTGGAGCAGCCTGGGACAGTGGAAGGTGTCCCTGCCATGGCAGGGGTGGGATGAGCTGAGCTTTAAGGTCCTCCCAACCTATATAAGTTCCCTTCCACGATTCTCTGACTCTTTGCAGTGGGATTTTCCTGCCCACAGAGGAAGGAAGATATTTCCAAAAGCCCAGAGCAGGCAGAGCAGGCACCTCTCCTGCCTGTGCTCCCCTCCACAACTCCTGTGTGTGCTGCTGCCTTGTGTGAGGTGGGAAATGATGGATGAGGCAGCAGAGTGACACTGCTGTGCCCTGGGAGGGATGTGACACAGCTGTGAGCCCTCACAGCCTCATGTGACACCCTCTGCATGAGCACACCTGGGAGAAGATTGGATAAGAGGCTGAGTGGCCAGCCTGCATGTTAGACAGTCTATCTCTTCTCTAAACCAATCCAAAAGTGCCAGCATCACCCAGAAGATGGAGGCTAGGAGGGAGAAAGAAGAAGGACAAGGCACACCCAAATTCCTCCATCTTGGGACCCTGAACCTCCATTCTAAAAACCTTAAAATTCTACCTTTTCACCCTGTGACAAACTATTATTCTACTTAACCTCTCCTGACTTGTAATTCTTCATACAAAGCTGGTCATTTGCTCCAGCTCTGCCTTGTACCTCTGGCTGCTGCTGGGACCTCCAGCCTGGTGCTTTTCCAGAGAGTTCTACAGAGCTTTGGTGAATTGCTCTTTGCTAACATGACACTCCTGGACCTTACTGTCACTTCTCATGAGGGGTGGGATGCCCAGGTGTCTCCCATCCAGGCAGGCAGGGAGGCCTGAGCTGTCCTTGGGGAGTTCAGCATGCTGCTGAGGCTTTGGAAAGGTAGGAGTGAAGCCTTCAGAATGGTGCCTTNAGGGAAGGGAAGGGAAGGGAAGGGAAGGGAAGGGAAGGGAAGGGAGAAGGAAAAGGAAAGAAAGGAAAGGGAGAAGGAAAAGGAAGGGAGAAGAAAGGAAAGGGGAACGGAAAAGGGAAGGGAAGAAATGGAAGAAAGGAAAAGGAAAGGAAGGGAAAAGAAAGGAAAGGAAAGAAGAAAGGAAAGGAGGAAGGAAAAGGGAAGGGAGGAAATGGCAAAAAGGAATAGGAAAGGAAAAGGAAAGCTCATGACTCGCGCAGAGTCTGAGACAGCTGGACTGTGATTGGCCATTAATTAGAAACAATCAACATGGGCCAATCACAGATGCATCTGTTGCATTCCACAGCAGCAGATAATCAATGTTTTTCATTTCCTCTAAGGCTTCTCAGCTTCTCAGGAGAAAAATCCTGGCAAAGGGATTTTTCGGAAAAGATCATGGCTACAGCCAGGTGGCCCTTGGCAGCACCTCTGAATCACTGTGACCAGCCTGGGGCGCAGCCCCTGCTGTACCCACCTGCTGAAGCAGCCTCTGGGTGAGCTCAGGCAGTCACTGAAGCCTTGGGGAGGAGAGTGATGGGGATGAGCTCTGTGAGACAGCTTCCCTGGGCCCGTGCTGCCTCACAGCAATGGGTTTTTAATGAAAACCAGATCCAGCTCTTCAGGCAGTGTGACTCAGCAGTGGCTGCTCTGGGAAACACCTGGCAGCTGCCACTCCCCTCCCACCTGCTGGAAAGCACCCTCAGTGGGATTTGTTTCCTTGCAGACACGGCTGGATGTGTACACATCCCACTATCCAGATGGCACCTCTGTCAAAAACATCATCCACTGGGCCCAGGTAGGACCCCTGACACACATACACACCCCTGGGATGGGCCCTTCACTGAGGGCCAGGGCAGGCACGAGAGCTCAGGGGTCTCAGACACTGGGAAAGGAAAGGCAGAAAGTCAGAAGAGGTGCTGGGTGCAGGATGAGCTGCCCTGGTGCCTCTGGGGACCAGGGGACACCGCAGGACACTGTGTGTCCTGTGCTGGGCCAGGCAGGACAAGGGACAGCATGGAGAGGCCACAGATGGGTGTTGGACCCCACTAGGAGTCACCAAAGCAGAGCTTGGGGACACCATGAAGCCCAAGGAGAGGCTGGGGGAACTGGATGAAGAGGAAAATGGGGAGCCAACAACACCTCCCCCTGTCCAAAGGGGGCCTGGACACCCTGGAGATGGACTCTGCAGCTTCAGCAGAGTTCAGGCCCTGCTGGAAATGGAGAACCCCACCCATATGCCTCCCTGCAGAGCCAAATTATTGGCAATGGAGGCTGGAAAAGGACAATCAGGGTGCTGGAGGAGCTGCAGCAGCACCCTGCACACACAGCTGGTGGTGAGCAGGATTCCAGAGGGAAGAGCACCAGGGCAGCCTAGGAATCACGTGGAGCACCTTGGTTTGTCAGCCCATGGCTGGGGACAGGCATGGAGCCAGGGGTCACAAAGCCACCCTGTTAAAAAAGGTGGAATGTCATCTCCTCCTGCAATGTCCCATGGGTGAGGACACCAACACCTCTCCTTGTCCTGCCTGTCCCCAGCCAGCTGGCATGGCTGGAGATGGGCACAGGGAGGGCAGGGACTTCCACAGACACTTTCTGAGCACGCTCTCATGATGGGTGCCTTGAGGGGGCCTGGAGATGTGAGACAGATGCAGGAGCAGATCCATCCTCTCCCAGCAGATCCATCCTCTC